AAACACACACACACACATCTTTTCTATTAGCTATTTTGAAATATATAATTACTGTCAACCACAGCTATCCTAGCACGCTAGAGAGGGGCAGAAGTCATGCCCTGAACCCACCATACCCTGTACCTGTTAACCATCCCCTCTTTATCCTCAGGGGTGCAATTTTATAGACCCTGACTCAGTCAGATTTGATTTCTTTGGAGCTTTAGAAGCTGGGTGTGTCTTGGCTCACCACGAAAATCATGTTATATTTGCATCAACTTTTTCCTTATTTAAACTTTCCCTTGGCTGAGTATCTTTATGATGAAACTCCCTCCACAATTGTCTTTAATGGTGTTTTTGATTTTCATCATAATCATAACCCCAGGCCATTCTGCGGAGTTCTTAGCTATTGATTTTTGCAATTTTAATACAGTTCAGTAATTTTCACAGCCTCTGTAGATTAATGGCTCTTTCCTTCAAGGGAGGTTAGTGAACATTTTGTTTGATAGGAGTGACTGTTTACCCAAGGAGGAGGCTGGGCTCCTGGTGGGGGGAGTCCTAAAATCCTGCCAGCACAGACTTCCTGGCGCTAGGAACACAAAAAGATCAGGGATACAGCACCCAGAGAAACCTGCTCACAACAGCAAGGGACCGTTGGGGCTGGGCTTTCTGCTACTGTGGACTTTGAATTTTGCACAGCTGACAGTTTTTGATTCAATTGCTGATTAGACAATAAACAGTGAGAATTACAACTTCAGGGTCATCAAATAGGTGGGAGCAACACAAGGTAAGAGATACGAGGGAAAGAGTCACAGACTAGAGGGCATGGACTGAGGCCACACGGTGGCTGGCCCTCACCAAACAGCGTAACCCAGCTAGGGGCTGTTCTCTTCCTCAAGGTCAAGGTCCCCATTAAGGAGAGTCGGACAGTTGAACATTGTCTGAAGGGCAAAACCACTTAGCTACACACACATGCACATATACACACCATTCAGAAGAAAGGGCTTTAGGGATGAGATTAATTAATGAGCTTGAAGTAAGGGGACTTTCCCAGATTCTCTGAGAGTGTTGCTAATGGCTGTCACAAACCTCTTGTATGACAGGGGCAGAGGGAGATTTTCACAGAACAGAGAAGACCATGTGACACTAGAAGCGAGTTTGGAGTGATGCAGCCACAGCCAAGGAGTGCTGGCCACAGCCAGCAGAAGCAAAACAAAGCAGGGCATGGGCTTTCCCTAGGACTTCAGCAGGGAGGGCAGCCCCATTTGACATTTTAGTTTAGGTCCAGTGATAACTGAGTTCAGATTTCTGACTCTGTACAAGTAAATTTCTGCTGCTTAATTTGCCAGTTTGTGGCAATTTGCTCTTAAGAGTCACAGTGAACGAATACAGACTATTGTCTGATACAAATATATTACACATGCAAAAGTGTATACACACACACATACACACACTCAGGATTCAGGAAGGACTGGACCAACAGCCACAGCTGAGATTGGTCTAGTGCTGATAAAGACAGATTGAGAGCTGTGCCCAGGAGTAGCATCTGAAATACATGTTCCTCGTTGTCTGAAATAAGACAGATGTTTTAAAGGAGCGAAAGTAAATTAGCAATGCCACAGAAATGCTACTAAAATTATCTTTTTAAAATGTGTAAAGGCATATTTGCCTGTTGTTAGCTTATTATTTATTAATATTCTCCCATTGTCCAGAAACAATTTTTTGGAGGTTTCCTAGTAATACCTTTTTAATAACTACTGCTTACTACTAGTATAGTACTTTGGTTTGTCTGTGAGTTGTCTGTTTTTATTTATTCCTTCTTGTTGTGGTTACTGGATTTAAAATTACTGGAGTTTGACCAGATGGAAGGAAATCTGACAGTTTTGCCAAGCTTAGCATCCGGTTTTTCCGTCCTTTTATTTGAACAGAAGGACCAAATTTCCAAGACTTTGTCTCTGGGTTTTCACTTCTGGTTGACTTTTCTGACCCAAGTTTTAGAATCACAGTAGAATGGCTTGTAATCTCCCGTCTGAAAAGAGCAATGGTTTGTATGGGCCTTGGATGTTTTCAGTAGACTCTCCATTTGAATATCCCACTCTACTGCCAAGCGAAATCTGCACCCCCTTGCTATAGTCTGAATCCTGAATGAGCCTAACAGCCCATGTGTTCAAGGCTGATTCCCAGCCTCTGCACAGTCAGGAAGTGGTGGAACCTTTCGGAGTTAGAGCCTTGCGTAAGAAAACTAGGTTTTAGGGGCATGCTTGTAGAGGGGTGTGGAACCTTGGTCTTCCTCTCTCCCTCTGTCTTCTCTCCCCAGATGCCATGGAGCGAGCAGCTCTGATCTATCATGTTCTTCCTGCATGAGGTCCTGCCTTTCCACAGGACCAAATGCCTGTGAAACTCTGAAATAAAGCAAACCTGTACTTCCTTAAGTTGGCTCTGATATTTTGCCAGAGTGATGGAAAACTAACACATTTCCCAAACTTTCAATCTCCTTTTAGTTTAATTAGTTCTGCAAATATGTACTGTTTCTCCCTCCCCCAAGCCTCCATGCCTGCTTTCTTTTTTCAGATCCAAAAGGAATCCTTTTCAAATATAATAAAATCTCAGATTGTGAAGTGCTTAGTCATCCATAACCTAATGCCTTACTTCCCTTCCCTTTATTACACTTCAGTCATCAAACGAATCGTTCCAAGACTAGTTTGGTCCCCACACCAGAGTTAATAGGTGCTGCTTATCTCTTTCTACCTACCTCATTCCTTACACTCCTATTTGTTAATTTTTAAAAAATAGTCCTTCATGAAGCCTTACTTATTAGCCTTCCCTAGTACTCTTAACCACATCAAGGAATTGATGCTATGTCCAGCTGCAATTAGAAATTGCTGTCAATAATCATGACCACTGGAATGGTCTGCTTTCCCATTGCTGGTATGAAACAGCCAACACCTAAAACTTAAAAGAGAAAAGGAGGAGGGTTTCATTTGGCTCATGGTTTCAGGTATTTCAGTCCATGGTCAGCTGGCCGCAAGGCAGAAATATCACAGTAGAAGGATGTGGTGGAGCAAAGCTACAAATTTCATGATGACAGGAAGGAGACCACCAGCAAGAGAGGTTCCCTCCAAAACACACTTTCCAATTAGTCCCCACTTCCTGCCATCACATTCAGTCAATTAACCCACTGAGGAGTATGCTACTCTTGTGATCCAATCAGTCCCCCCGAAGTCTCTTAGCCCCATCAAGTTGACAATTATGATTAACAGGACACAAATACCTGGCTGACTCTTCTGACATGTCACAGTCATTTTCAAAAAACAAAGCAAACATTTATGGAAGTGTAAGAATCTTTACATACCCGTTAGAAGTCAATGTTTACTTGGAAATAAGCCTGATTTTAAGAAACTAGAAATTCATAGTAATAATCTGGTCCTATTTCTGTTATCAAAATGGTCTATATGTAGAGGTTGCCAGTAGAAAGCTTCTACCCTAAGTGGCATGTTATAAATAATACACTTGAACTTAAGAGAAAAATTATGTGGTGTAATCACAGCAGTGGCAAGAGGAATGTAGAGAGATGAGATGATCTGGGGGCTAATCACAGTGTGGTCACAGAGGACCCAAATCTGGAAAGTAGGAAAACAACTTCCCATAGACACACAGACAAGCTAGGACCATGGCTGTGTTGACACTGTCAGTATCTTGTAGCACTCCACATGGTCCTGCTCTTCTATGCCTCTTTTAGACACCTATCTCAGAAGTAAGTTTACATTTATGTGCTAGTTATGGAAAAGATGCATCTCTGCCCCAGCTCATGCATACGTTCCCAGGAGAGCCCGTTGAGTTTTCCATTGCCTGTGGAACCGACCACTTCCTGCATGCCCTATCTTCACTCAGGGCTGCATTGTCTATTCTGGGTGAAAGGGTTTTCAAAATTTGCAACTGCCTGTCCGTGAGCAGTGGGGATTTCATCTCAGGAATAGCCCATCTTCTCTCCAAGACCTCTCACTCCCCTGTCACTCCTTCTCATAAAAGATATTTCTTCCACTCCGGATTCCCACCTCTGTCTAGTGTGAGGCTTCTCTCTGTCCTTTTCTGATACCCAGGCTCATTTAGTCTGTGAATGAGAAGACATGGCCTAATCCTTTCCTTTTCACATTTTGAGTCCGCATCTTCCTTTGCATTGTGGCTACTATTTTGAAACAAGGTAAGGTCACCTCTACTGCAGTCCCTAGCTAGCTTGTTCAAGTGGCCTTCGTCTGACACCTGCTCTTCTCTGTCCCTCTTCCTGTGGTGTCCTCAGCAAACGGGTAGCTCTCAGTCTCATCTTTTCTCTTGTCAAACCTCTTGGTTTGGCAAGGACTTGGGATCTATTGTGCTCCCCTTATAGAAACCAAAACTAGCCATACCAATGCCTACTTCCCTGGTAGTCCCTGAGTTGCCAGGGTATGCAGTTAGCTGTCTCCCTGTTAAGAAGGACAGGATAGGCTAGAGATTTAGCTCAGCAGTGTAAGTGCCTGCCTGGCAAGTACAAGGTTGTGAGTTCAATCCCCAGTACCAAAACACAAAAACAGGATAATCAACAAATCCCTGATTGAGCAGATGTCTAAGAGGAAAAGTATTCATTTTCTTCCAGGCAGCGCCAAGCTTTATGAGGATTCTCTTGGTATCTTAACCTCTTTGGGTAGCTAGGAGTAAAGCATTTTTTTTCTTGCAAGGTACACTTTCTAAGACAGGATGTGTTCTCTTCTCTGTGCAGGCAGTGAGTCTGCATCCCAAGGAGACAGTCAGATCTAATTGGTCCTTCCCGGTTAGACATCACTGACTCTGAACACAGGTACCTCCCTACATTTACTATATGAAACCTAGCAAGACTTTTGCTGGCAATGTTGAGCTTCTGAAATTCCAAACAACATGAAAAAATCCACACAGTCTCATATTATTTCCGTATAATAAATCAAAAGTCATTTCTAAAACTGCTCTTATTATGATAAAATAGTTCGTATTTGAGCAACAGTGTGTCATACCTGAGAACTCCAGGAAGTCACATAAAGGTCACCTGCGAAAGGAGCATGGGGCTTGCACCTGCACGTTATGCAGAGGCAGCATTTACCAAGGAATCCCCCCGGGTTAGAGGATTTCTGGGCTCTTTGAGAGGATTACTGCTCTATTTATGCCTCCTGTCACATTATTTGAACATATGGTCCATCCATGTTCCATTGTGACCATTTATACTTTACAAACTATATCCAAGAATATGAGACAAAAGGAAGTAAATTTTAATAAAAGCAAAGTATTATGATCCTCAAACTATATTGAACAAGCATGCAAGGAAACATGAAAAGTAAATATAGACAACCTTTGATTCCTGAAACAAATGCGAACAGTTCCATCATGACTATAGAATGCTGATATTTGAGTGAAAAGATTGAAAACTGAGCAGCTGTCCCTACTGTGTGTAGGTTCTGTTTTCTGCTGTCCATAAAACGAAAATGATTTAACTCTTTTGCTTTTTATTCTTCTTTTACAAAGTTTGAAAAACTGTAAGAATCACATTTTGATCATTTCCTTTGTTTACTATTTGATTTGATCTGCAATCACTTTTAAACCATTCACTCAAAGATATACAGCTCTGATTGTTAGATTAATTCATTATCATCTTAAAGAGTCAAAAGTACTTAGAAAAGGCTGACATTTTAAGTAATGTACTCCCTCTAGTGGATGAAGACAAACTATTTGTGTCCTTTGATGATTAGTTTCTGAGCATAAACTATTTTTGGGGAGCGGGGCTTGGGTTTCCCCTAAAAAGCTATCCATTCTGATTCAAAAAAACAGAAAAGGATACTATGTTAGTTTTTTGTTGCTGTAACAAAATGCTCAAGAAAAATGACTTAAAAGAGGAAAAGTGTATTTTGGCTGACGGTTAGCTGGCTCCCTTGTTTAAGCCTGTAGTGAGATGAAAGGGCCTGGAAGAGGGAAGCTACTCATCCCACGGTAACTAGGGTGCAGAGATAGAGCCACAGAGACAAAGGGGAAGGGGACAGGGTCCCCAAGGCCATGTCTCCATGACCCACCCCCTTCAATTAGGCCCACATCAAAAGTTTCCATAATCTCCCAAGAACACCATTAAACTGTGCCTTAAATCACTTTCCAAAGCCCATTTGCTGTAGACCAAATCTTCAACGTGATAAACCCTTTGAGGGACATTTTAGATTCCAACCATAATAGGTCCTTTTTGATACTTATTATGTTGAGGCTCTATCAGTTTTTATAGTTTTTTTTAAAGTTCATTGGTGCCTTTTTCCTATCATGGTTTTTTTTCATCATTAAAGTCTTTCAGTCATCAATACTGAGCGTTTGTCTGGTGACTAACATGACTCTAAGCATCAAGAATACAGCAGTAAGTGAACAAAACAACTCAAAATCCTGTGATTGAGAATCTTGAAATATTACCAGATAATTTTCATTTCCTGCATGCCGTACTATGTGTTTAGTGATACAAAATTATTATTAAACCAAATCATCCCAACAACTCTGTAGAAACCAGGAAACTGAGAAACTTACCTGTGATCATAGACAGGGAGAGCTGAAAGTACCTCGAACAATGTCCTGTCACACCGTTAGACTATGCAGTAAATTCTAGATTCTTGATCCTGTTTTGCTCTACACTAAGGTCATTTTTTCAATGGCCTTTGTCTTCTACCTCAAATGGATCCTCCATGACCAGAGACTGGACATAAATCCAGCAGCCAAAGCCTGCCACTCTTGGGTCTCCAGAAACACTGAGCCAAAGGACTTAATTATAATGGGGTGAATGAGTGGAAGTTGAACTCAGGACTCTACTCCCCCCATGATTATCTGGCAAATGGGAAACAACCTTCCCAGGGAATAACTCAACTGAAGTATTTTAGAGCTAGAGATCTTCTTCATTTTCTTGAAGAACAAGACTAAAATGAACAAAATCTGGGTCTTTAAAACACATACAATCTTTGAACAGATTCTCATTTGCCATTTCTCCTAATTTTTTTCACTGGAGTATACCAGGTGAACGCAAAGCAGCTTCTCCCCCATGTGTGGATTCCCCTTAAAAGGCCATCCATGCCATAGGGGTGAAGGATGGGTGGGTGGGATGGTTGTCCTTTGAGCTGCACAACCTGCAGTAATATCTAATGCCATGATAAAAGGGTCCATTTCCACAGTATCATGATTTATTTTATAGTAGTTATTTCCTCAATCATTATATGCCCTACATCATTATTTAACAGCTACCAAGTAGCTTAAGATTTATGGTAGCTATCATTCACATCTATTAACCTTTCAGTATGTATTTGAAAATCATTAGCAGTGTTCTGCCCTAAGATGCCAACTGTAGAATAGTAAATATTGAAAGAGTACTCTTGCCATTTCAAATGTTTCTGGCTGGAATAAATGTTTGTTCAAGTAGCAGCACTGCCCAGGGAATCACTAGGTAATGAGGCAGGATCACCTTCCAGGGCTGGGACAGACAGAAAAAATTACTAGGTGCAGGAATGACTTTTACAGTAGATCTCTCTGGATCCATGTATTAGGTTTTTTTGTTAAATCTTTTTGTATGTGAGGACTTCTGTGGGCAAGTTGTCCACTTGGTTTTATGTAGCTCTTCAATGCACCCAGATTCTTTCCCCCATAGTCAAATTGAACTTACAATCGGTAATGAGCATCCTAACTTTAGGGGTCAAGATATCAGTTTCTGCTGGGGAAAGTATTCTCTTAGTCATTTTTTTAAAATTTTATTTTAAAGAAGGTAAAACTAAATACAATAAAACAGGTCAGAAGAAAACAATGCAAGAGACACTGATTTCAAAGCAAGACAACAGGAGATCTTCACTGTCTAGCGTATTGTTTCATTTTCTTCTAAATGGCTGTTCTTATCTTCACAAACAATTAATTCATACAAAACAAAATAGTATTGAACTGATCAGAACAGGATGAGGAAGGCATTTGAGGTCTGCAAAACCAGACAATAGGGAAGTCAACAATGGCTGCCGTAATGTCTTTTGTTCTCTTCAAAATAGCTGATCAGACTGAGATATTTATAAGTAAATGGATACAACTTGAGACCATTCTCATAAGTGAATTAGTCATTATTTTTATTTTATACAGGTCTATTTTTAAGAGGACAGACCTATACTAAGCACCCCTCTGAGGAGGAGCGTCACCCAGGGCCACTGTGCCATGTTTGTGTATAGTCTTCCTGCACTACGAATCCCATAAATCAGGAGTAAAAACTATTTTGTTAATGGACAGTCCCAAAGTTCTCCTACTTCCTTTTCTCACTCACCCCCAGTTTCCTATGGCCAGTGTAGACTCAGGGTGAACCTCGTGTGCTTTCCACCCCTGTGTTAATGAGTTTTTCATTGCAGATATAAAATGCCCAATATGCACAATTTAAAGAAGGGAGAATTTATCTTGCCTCACAGTTGCAGAGATTTCAGTTCTGGATTGGCTGGCTCCAAGGCAAAGACACTGTCCCGGAGAGGAGTGAGAGAAGGAAGTTTGCTTTCCTCATGGTGGCTGGAAGCAGAGAGAGCAGGGAGAGAGCCAGAGCAAAAGATGGGCCCTCCAGAGGTCTGTCCCCAGTGACCTGCCCTCTCCACTGGGTCTCCCTTCCTAATAGCCCATTCAACTATGCACTAATCAATGGGTTGATCATTGATAAAAGTTAGAAATCTTATGATCTGATCTCCTTCTAAAAGCCCCACTCCTGAACACATGAGACTTTAGGGGCATAAATGTAAACCATCACAATCCCCCAAGTTTATTAAAATGTTTTTAGCTCTACTTGTGGTAGACACTTTTGCAGTCATTACCTAGATTTGCTACTGATAGTTTGTGGAAGTCTGTGGAAACTTATCCCAAGATCGGTCCTTTCCTTCTGGTTTGCATCTGTATTCAACCTTCTAAAGAGATTCTTGAGTGTCAAGAGTGTGTTTACAATGTCTTTCCAGTTTCTCCCGATTCTGTCCTTCAAGTCTTTACAGTACACTGTGGGTTGTACTCTTCTTGTTCTTTTTTTTTTTTTTTTTTGTCCTTGGTGATATATTGATTTATGTGTCTTATTGTCGAACACACACACACCACCACCACCACCACATGGCCTGCTAGAGGTGGCACAGTAATTAGGGGGAAAAAAAACTGCTTTGGATCCCACCTCCTGCAGCTAGGTGCACAGCTGTGGGAAATTTCTTATCCACTCTAGACTTAGTTCCCCCAGGGAGTAATGCTTTTTTTTTTTAAAGAGAGAATAAAACCAAGCAAAGCAAAACAAAACAAAAGGCAACCCAAACAAACTAGTGTAAATGATATAGGACTTCAAAACATTAGGAAATCAACAATGGTTACCATGATACTTCTGCTGTCTTCAAAATGGTTGCAGATATCTTCAGCCATATTAGCAATGAAACAAAACAGAACAGAATTGAACCAATAAAAACAAAACAATGAATACAATAAAGGACTTCAAAACAAGAAAATATTAAGTTCAAAATGGCTACCATAATATATCTTGTTATCTTTGAGGTTTTTATGCAGTTTTTTGTTTTGTTTTGGTTTGGTTTGGTTTTTTTGGTACTGGGGATCAAACTCATGACCTTGCACTTGCCAGGCAAGTGTTTATGCTGCTGAGCTAAATCCCTGGCATATCTTGTTATCTTTGCAATAGCTGCCCATGCTGTCAGATACAACAAAGTCAAACAAAACAAAATGGAACAAAACCCAACCCAACGAAAGAATGAAAACGATACAGGACCTCAAAACAAACAATAGGGAATCAACAATGGCCACCACCCTCAGCATGAGATCCCTCATAGATGCTGCACTGCGCATAGAGGATCAGACCTGCAAAGCCAGTGAAACACTAAACACTATAAGCATTAAATTGTATCCCATCTCAATAGCTATCATTGCACCCTATGTTTCTCCCGATCAGCTGGTCATTTACGGTGGGTGGCTGAAGAGGGTTGACTCTTCTTGTTTTGCAGCCTGTGCACTGGAAGGAGCTGGTGTCTGGTTTTCCCTGCAGTGGCCCATATATGGCACCAATTTGTAGGAGGGTGTTGCTTCTTCATGACTTCTTGTT